GAATGCTCAAAAATTTCTCTTTCATTCTTCTCTTCTCCAGCTGTAAATCTCCCACATTCTGTGGACAGTTTCTTGAAAAAGTGGAACACCTCAACAGTTGACAAGGTCAGATTTTCTTCCATATTTCACCTCATGTCCCATTATTTGATAACCCACACCCATAATTGAAATTACCTCCTAAATCTTAGTTAAAACATACCTAATTTAACTAAAAAAGGCAATTAAAAGATTCTTGTCCCTAATCTATCTCAAGTAGGATTTGTGGTATCCAGACCTCTAGCCTTTCATACCATAGGATAATAAAGCTTAAGGTATATACCATTTATTTTTCAAGGATGTAACTCTCCATTTAGTGATTCAAGCCAATATGCTCCCCCTCTAAGCAGTTCATGGATACAAAATGGCTTTTCCCAATTGGGAGACCATTTTTCCGAATCTAGGATCTTTCTTTCCAGGTGGCAAAATTGCTTTCCAGACTAGATCTCCTTCTACTAAACTTTTGGACTTCATCCGCTTGTTGTATGCTCGGGCTTCTTTTAATTTCTGCATTTGCAGCCTATTTAAGGTTGTCAATTGCATGTCTTCAAAGTCCTCAACTTCTAACATCATTGCATCATTACATTCTCCAGAAGTAAGACCATGTTGAATTGCTATATGAAATGGATTTGGAAGATAACTCCATAGGCAGAATAACATCATGTCCATAAGTTAAAAGTGTAGAGTTACCTTGGTAGAACTCTTTTGTAAAGTTCTATAAGCCCAAAGTGTGTCAGATAATAGCTAATGCCATTGCCTTGGATTATCATCAACCATCTTATCAGGGAGATTTATCACAATTTTATTGGAAGCTTTAGCTTAACCATTGGCTTGAGCATAATGAGGGATTGAAGTGAGTAAACGAAAGCCTAATTCCTTGCAAATGCCTCCACCTATGAACTAGTTAAAATTGTCCCTTGATTTGACATTGCTGTTTTTGGTAAACTGAATCTATGAATAATATCTTCCTTGAGGAATTTAATAATATCCATTTGGTGTACCTTTTTCATTAGTTTTTCTTCCACCAATTTGGTGAAATAATCTGTAGCAACAATAATAAAATAATGCCCTTCAGTTGAAAGAGGATAGACTTTTCCAATTAGATTTATGGCTCATCCTCGAAATGGCCATGGCTTGACAATTGGGTGGAGTTTTGATGCTAGAACTTTTTGTAGTGGTCCATGAATCTGATAGGCTTTGCAACCTTTAGCATAACTAATGTAATCTTTCAAGATTGATGGCCAGAAAAACCCATGTTTGCAAATCAATCAACGCATCTTAATTCTAGCTTGGTGTGCATCACAGATTCCGTTATGTACATCTGACATAATCTAGTAGTACTCATTTGGACCTAGACAGCGCGGAAGTAGGTCATCGTGCCTTTTGCAGTAAAGAACACCCTCCAGCTAAATATAAGTCAAGGATTGCATTTTTGCCCATCTTGAGGCCTCAAAACTTGGATTCTTGAGGTATTCCATGATCGGATGGTGCCAATCTATTTGGGTCATGTTTATTGAGTAAGCAGAAATCACAATATTGCACTTGTGAATGGATGGCAGAATTCGTTTTTCCACAACAAAAATTTTCCTCATCATGCTTTCTCGGATTTTTAAGCCTGAGGTGATTTGTGCCATTTCGTTTGCTTATGTGTTTAAATCTCGCATAACATGCCTCAAGATTACATCATCAAACTCCTCCAAAAGTTGTATTGCCAAAGTAAAGTAAGGTGCCGAAGATAGACTAGTGCATTTCTATTCACCTTCTAATGGTTTTAAAATTAATTGTGAATCACCAATTATTTCTACAACAGGTACCTTAAGTTCTACCAGCACTTCCAACCCAATAGTCAATGCCTCATACTTAGCTTGATTATAGTTGAAATCTAACTGAAATGACATCTGGGTTTTCACACCTATTGGAGAAATGATGACAATTCCTGCTCCAGATATGGAATTTGTGCTGGACCCATCAAAGATAAACTTCTAAGGAACCAACCTATAGAAAATAAATTAACCCCTTTTTCTTCATCCACTTCTACTTCGACGCATGAATGATCTACTGAAAAATCTGCCAAGACTTGCCCATTGACAGGTTTTTGAGGCATGTATTTGAGTTTGAATTTTGATAAAGCAAGAATCCATTTTCCAATTCTACCTCTCAGCAATGGTCAAGACAATAAGTACTTTATCACATTTGTTTTTGAAATAACATAAACCTCGCAATAAAGCAAATAATGCCTCAATTTTATAGCAGCAAAAAATAAAGCAAAACATAATTTTTTCGACCAAAGAATATTTCACTTCAGTCTATGACAGACTTCGACTCTGATAAAGCACTTGCTCTTGCCTTTTATTATTTTCTTGAGTTAGCAGACAACCTACAGATTCATCTACAGTAAATATGTACAAAATCAAAAGTTTGCCTTGAATAGAAGGCATTAAGACTAACGACTTTGATAAATAATGCTTTATCTCCTTAAAGGTGGTCTGGTGGTGCTTCTCCCATTTGAAATTTGCTTAAGATATCAGCTTCAGCAGTGGTGAAAAAACTCTTGTCTTTCTTGCCAAATTTGAGATAAAATGCCTCAGAAAATTTAATTGCCCAAGGAATCTTTGCAATTCTTTCTTACTTCTTGGTGGTTGTGCTTATATAATAGCTCTTGCCTTGTTTTGATCCACTTCCAGACCTCGCTCATGCACTAGATATCCTAGAAAATTTCCAACAAAAATCCCAAATGCACACTTTAAAGGATTCATCTTCAAACCATTTTTTTTTCATTTTTTCAAAGGCTAGCTTTAAATGCATCAGATGTTCTTCATCTTTAGACCATGCTTTTTCATTTTTTCAAAGGTCAGCTTTAAATGCATCAGATGTTCTTCATCTTTAGACCATGCTTTTTCATTTTTTCAAAGGTCAGCTTTAAATGCATCAGATGTTCTTCATCTTCATGGACTTCACAACCACATCATCAATATAAATCTCCATGAAATGATCAATCATGTCATGAAAGATGGCGTTTATGGCTCTTTGGTAAGTTGCATCCACATTCTTTAAACTGAATGGCATTACCACCCATTCATAAGCACCAATAGCTCCCAGACAATTGAAAGAGGTTTTTGAAATGTCTTCTTTTGTTATGAAAATCTGGTTGTACCCGCTATGGTCATCTATGAATGACAGAATTTGATGGCGTGCTGCACCATCCACCAGCCAATTTATAATAGGCATAAAATATTCATCTTTAGGTATTGTTAGATTCAAATTTCTAAAGTCCACAGAGATTCTCTACTTGCCATTTTTTTTTTAT